TGAAGCACTCGGGAGCACGGAGCGTCGGTCTACCCTACCTCCAGAGTATCGAACCCAGCGTGGGTTCAGTCCCGTGGGTGGTGCGGTATTAGGCACGAGCGTCGGCCTACCCTACGTCCAGAGTATCGAACCCAGCGTGGGTTCAGTCCCGTGGGTGGTGCGGTATTAGGCACGAGCGTCGGCCTACCCTACCTCCAGAGTATCGAACCCAGCGTGGGTTCAGTCCCGTGGGTGGTGCGGTATTAGGCACGAGCGTCGGCCTACCCTACGTCCAGAGTATCGAACCCAGCGTGGGTTCAGTCCCGTGGGTGGTGCGGTATTAGGCACGAGCGTCGGCCTACCCTACCTCCAGAGTATTGAACCCAGCGTGGGTTCAGTCCCGTGGGTGGTGCGGTATTAGGCACGAGCGTCGGCCTACCCTACCTCCAGAGTATCGAACCCAGCGTGGGTTCAGTCCCGTGGGTGGTGCGGTTCTAGGCACGAGCGTCGGCCTACCCTACCTCCAGAGTATCGAACCCAGCGTGGGTTCAGTCCCGTGGGTGGTGCGGTACTAGGCACGAGCGTCGGCCTACCCTACCTCCAGAGTATCGAACCCAGCGTGGGTTCAGTCCCGTGGGTGGTGCGGTATTAGGCACGAGCGTCGGCCGCGACGAGCTGATGAAGGCTCTCGACTTTGGAGGCTCGCAGCAGGTCTTCGCTGGGAGGCTGCCACAGAAGCTCCTTTGTCAGCCGTGCCGTCTCCCCCTCCTGCAGGCTCGCAGCAGGTCTTCGCTGGGAGCCAGCCACAGAAGCTCCTTTGTCAGCCGTGCCGTCTCCCCCTCCTGCAGGCTCGCAGCAGGTCTTCGAGCCCTTCGAGGTCGCCTCGGGGAAGGTGGCCGAGTCGCTCTACGGCAAGGACGAGCCGCCGCTCATCCTGCTCGGCTTCCGGCCCACTGAGGCGCTCAAGCCACACCTCAACGTCAAGCCCGCGACCTTCCTCGAGCCTTCCGAGACGGCCGCCGGCTCGACGGTCGCTGCGCGGGCGCTGGTCGAGTCGATGGCGGCCAAGGGGAGGATCGCCCTCGCGCGCTTCCGGCGGCAGGGCGCGGCGCAGCTGGTCGCGCTGCTGCCGCAGAGGCGCGAGCCGGACCCGAGAGACCCGGCGGTGACGAAACTTCCGTGCGGCTTCCACCTCGTCTGCCGCCCCTAGAAGCGGAAGATCTCCCCATATCTCCCCCGTATCTCCCCCATACCTTGCAGTGCGGCTTCCACCTCGTCTGCCGCCCCTAGAAGCGGAAGATCTCCCCATATCTCCCCCGTATCTCCCCCATACCTTGCAGTGCGGCTTCCACCTCGTCTGCCGCCCCTAGAAGCGGAAGATCTCCCCATATCTCCCCCGTATCTCCCCCATATCTGGCAGTGCGGGCGCCTAGAAGCGGAAGATCTCCGCATATCTCCCCCGTATCTCGCCCATATCTGGCAGTGCGGGCGCCTAGAAGCGGAAGATCTCCGCATATCTCCCCCGTATCTCCCCCATATCTCGTCCCTCGAAGCGGAAGACGCACTCTCGCACTCCAACCAGCGCTCGAGAGGACGCGTATACACGAACTCAGCGTCCGGCTGCACCAGACGGTACTCCGCCGTATTCACACAAAAAACACAACCCCGGACCCAAGACGCACAAGCACAGACAGTCGAGAAGGGAGAGACAGTCTTCGCTGCATTCGCCCCCCTCGTGCTCACACGCAGCGCTCTGAAGACACCGCACAAGACCGCCTTCCCGCCCCGAGGCTGGCGCACTCGCCATGCAGGTCTACCTCCACACACACACACACGCCGCTCACCCACGCGCACTGGGCCTTGCACTTTGAATGCCGTGGGGCTCCTATCGTCTAGACGTGGAGTCGCGAGGGTTGCCCCCCCTTGCCCCACCACCTCATGTATCTGGAGAAGTCTACCTTACCTTACCTTACCTTAGGTCTACCTCCCCTTTGCGAACGCCGTCCGCAAGCCGGAGCTGCCGCCCACGCTCGAGCCGGGCGCGTTCAGCGCGCCGCAGCTCGAAGCCACGCGCCGGCTCGTGCAGCACCTCACCCTCCCCGAGGGCGGCGCCCAGCTCGTTGCCGCCGTGCCAAACCCCGCCTCGGAGGCGCACTTTCGAGTCATCGAGCAGGCTGCACCCCCCCCCCCCCCCCTCCCTCCCTCGGACGCACCTCGGACGCACCTCGGACGCACCTCGGACGCACCTCGGCTTCACCTCGGCTTCACGTCGGCTTCACCTCGGCTTCACGTCGGCTTCACCTCGGCTTCACGTCGGCTTCACGTCGGCTTCACGTCGGCTGTGCCTCCGCAGGCCGCCTTCTCGGAGGGCGCCTCGTCGGCGCTATACAGCCGGTCAAGGGGCGGGACCGTGAGTTCGTTCCTTCGTTGAGTGAGTGAGCTGTGAGTACTCAGGCGCTACAGCAGGTCAAGGACGGGACCGTCCCAGACGCCGCCTGGCTTGGCGAGCCGAGACACTTGCCTGTCGGCGTGTGAGCGGCGTCTCTTCACACTTGCAGCTGTGAACAGGCGAGCCGAGCCGCGTGCAGTCCATCGGCGGCTTCATCGCCGCGTTCGGCGTGGCGCAGGCGAGACACCTCCGAGACGCTTCCGAGACACTTCCGAGACACTTCCGAGACACTTCCGAGACACTTCCGAGACACTTCCCCGCCGTGTTCGGCGTGGCGCAGGCCGTGGGCAGCGGCGGTGGCGGCGGCGAGCGGGCGCCGAAGCGGCTCAAGGCGTCTGTGTCGGCGAGTGCAGGGCGTGTTTCTTTTTCTTGAGCGGCGTGTTTCTTTTTTGTAGGCGTCTGTGCCAACGAGTGCCGCAGAGTGGTCGCAGATGCAGGCGTGTGCATCGCGCGCCTTGGTGTGGGTGTGGGGTGGGTGGGTGGCTGGGTGGGTGTGTGGGTGTGTGGGGGGGTGGGGGGGGGTGGGGGGGGG